GAAAAATGCTACTGACTGAATGTATGCAGCCTGATCAACCGTGTGCAACTTCAAATTTTTTATAATTTTTTTATAATCAACTATCTTAATAAAACAGATAACGCAGTTTCAGAATCAAATGCATTCTGGGTAATATTTTAAAATGTGTATACCAGAACGTTGTGATTGGCTAACAAAAGTCCTAAACAATGGAAATTCAACCAATGGAGTGACGTTGTTTTTATTTTGGGGTCAGAACAATGAAATTACCCATAGTTCTTTAGATTCTGAAACGGCGAAATTACCAGTTTCTCTTTGTATGAAATAAACCTCGTATGTAACTGTATTTTTCAAGATGTATGCCGGCTTACCAAAGATGAAGGACCCTGCGAAGCTCTCATACCTCGATACTATTTTGATTCCGACACTTACAAGTGTAGGAAATTTACCTATGGAGGATGTAAAGGAAATGCTAACAATTTCAAAACTAAAAAGGAATGCAATAAGGAATGCAAAAAGTCAGGTATGTTTCTCTATAGTAACGCTGTTATTGAGGAAAGCCACATTTTTATACATATGTATCTCAGCAGCACATGTATATTTGTATTTCATTTCATACAAACGTGTATCTAAAGAGCAGCACAGGTATATTTGCATATCTTTATAGTTTAGGAGCCGATGAATGTTGACGATATGAAGCAATATGTCAAGTGATTTGGGAACTTGGTACGTTGTATAATCTACAATGTTCCATCAAGTTGCTGAATATATGCAATAATTTTTTGAATGGATAATGGTGACTGGTAGAACACAATTAACCTCTCGTTGATATGGAGGTTTATTTCATGTTCAAACCGCAAAGTGTTACCAATGTCCAATTTTCAGTCTTCTCGGCCATCCGTCGTTCTCACATCATACGGTTGTAAGGACTATAGTTATGTCTGTAAACACCCATTTTATATTGGAACAAAACTGTTCAGTGTTTGGTACGTTCTCCCAGTTAAGAGAACGGACAGCTAAAGGGTTTATGTATAAATTGTTTTGATATGTTTCTAGGGAAAATATTTCTCGCGTACCGGCCTCACCTTATTTTTCTTTTGGCTGTTTACGTCACTGGAACACATCAAATACCCGTATATATATAACCAGCTTGCTCAGAGAGTGTGGAACAAATATCAACAAAGTCGACAAATAAGAAGCAACAAAGACTCTGATGAATTCAAATCAATTAGCAAATTTAAACGGATCTTAATCCGATAAAAACATTTAATGCAAATACGTCGAGCAAACCGCACATTTTTGTACAAAAATAAAGAAAACCACACTTTTATGTACAAAAACCATGATAACCGCACATTTATGTACAAAAATCAAGAAAACCACACGTTAATGTACAAAAATCAAGAAAAACGCACATTAATGTACAAAAATCAAGGAATCATACATTTATGTACAAAAATCAAGAAAAACGCACATTTATGTACAAAAATCAAGAAAACCACACATGTATGTAATAAAATCAAGAAAATCGATTCTAAATAATGCTTATAAAATAGCTGGACTTTTTAACGACTAATATGTTTTGTAAAAAAAATTCCTATTAGTATTTTTAACCTAAACAGACATATTTTTTTAATCGAAATATTTACACAAAAACAGTATTTTTCAAATGAAATTACAATGACAATCCACAAAACGAAGTTCTCTTTTGAAAAAAAGACTAGATTTCGGAAAACTGTACTTTGCTAAGAAATACACGAACACTCTACAAATAGGTGACTTGAAGTTAATTTTGTTTTAGATATATGTGCAATAAGAATAATATATTGAAGGACCTATTCTCTCTCTTGGAAATCACAAAGTCATAAGCGTTTTCACATATATTTCTCAATTGTGGCTATCTCACATGCAAATTTAAAATTGTTGTAAAAAGAGAAAGATAAGATACCAAGGGGGCATTAAAAAATCATAAGTTCATGAAAAACAGACAACACCTTATAAGTCTAATAATTGTTATCATTAAAAAGTTATTTCTTTTTTCAGTTTGTACATTAACAAAGGACCCTGGACCTTGCAAAGGAACATTCAGGAAATGGTACTATAACTTAGCAACCGGAAAATGTGAAAAATTTATTTATGGCGGTTGTAAAGGAAACGGGAACAGATTCAATCGTAGAAGAGGTTGCATGAAAATTTGCAGAGGAGTCAGTGTGTATATCTTAATTTTTTAATGATCATAAAATACTTAATAAAATGGTGATCTTTAAGTAATATTGCTTATCAACCATTATTCATAATTAGTTTGTTTTTGGAATACTTGATTTGCTCACAAGTAAAAAAAAAAGAATCAAAAAAGCGTCACAAATTTGCTTCCAAGGCATAGTTCTTTAACTTCGTTCACCATCAAGGATAAAAAATAAAGGTACAACAGTCAAAAATAAATGAACACATATGGAGCTATATAACCGAAAGTTCCATGAAAATATGGTTCATGTACAAAAAGTATGTGTCCTTACAGTATTTCGATTTTCAAGTATAGACAATTCATCAATGTCTTGTATTTAGTGTAGATTTGTCTGGAGCGGCGCACCTTGAGACAACCATTGACATTATTGCACCGGAATTAGTTAATTGAACAAACACGCATTGTGCGCAAACTTGTCGAGTCCCTTGTTTGGAATTTGTTTATGCGCATGCGTTTATGAATTGAAGGAGATTGAACATAACCACGTGGGACATATTGTATGAAGAAATTTGTTTCCTAATAGCCAATTTATACCTGTTAAATAGAACAATTTTGTCCTTCGATTCAGTAAATCATCAACCGTAGTAGTTAACCAATTATTCTTTAACCTGAAATATTGAGCATACAAGCTAATTTTACAACAGCTGATAGTCTTTGTTGATGCTCTTGAACCCTCAGGCTGTTCTATATTTGGCCTTTTAACTCTTTTGATTTGTACATCACGAATAATAAAATTGAGAATGGAAATGGGGAATGTGTCAAAGAGACAACAACCCGACCATAGAACAGACAACAACAGAAGGTCACCAACAGGTCTTCAATGCAGCGAGAAATTCCCGCACCCGGAGGCGTCCTTCAGCTGGCCCCTAAACAAATATATATACTAGTTCAGTGATAATGAACGCCATACTAAACTCCAAATTGTACACAAGAAACTAAAATTAAAAATAATACAAGACTAACAAAGGCTAGAGGCTCCTGACTTGGGAAAGGCGCAAAAATGCGGCGGGGTTAAACATGTTTATGAGATCTCAACCCTCCCCCTATACCTCTAGCCAATGTAGAAAAGTAAACGCATAACAATACACACATTAAAATTCAGTTCAAGAGAAGTCCGAGTCTGATGTCAGAAGATGTAACCAAAGAAAATAAACAAAATGACAATAATACATAAATGACAACAGACTACTAGCAGTTAACTGACATGCCAGCTCCAGACTTCAATTAAACTGATTGAAAGATTATGTCTTCATCATATGAATATCAGGCACAATCCTTCCCGTTAGGGGTTTAGTATCATACCATCATAACATATATGAGAAGAACATAACCCGTGTCATGCCAACAACTGGTTTTTAAATAAATGTGTTTAGTGCCGATGCAAAGACCCTATAAGTGAATCAATATTAACGCCAAAATATGCAATCTTTAATGACCTGACAACAGTATCGTAACTATATCCCTTCTTGATAAGTCTATTTAAAGGTTTTGTTAGTTTCAGAGGTGAATACTGACATTTTTGTGCTTTATAAAGAATATTTCCATAAAAAATTGGATGTGAAATACCTGAACGTATAAGAAGTCTGCATGTTGAGCTATATTTACGAATGATGTCCTTATACCGATGATAAAATTTAGTAAATGTTTTGACTAGTTTGTGATATTGAAAACCCTGGTGTAATAATTTTTCAGTAATACATAAATTTCTCTCGTTAAAATCTAAAACATTGTTACATACACGAGCGAATCGTACAAGTTGAGATATATAAACACCGTAAGATGGTGACAAGGGAACGTCACCATCTAAAAATGGATAATTAACGATAGGAAATGAAAAATCATCTCTTTTATCATATATTTTAGTATTAAGCTTTCCGTTAATGATATAGATATCAAGATCGAGGAAAGGGCAGTGGTCATTGTTAGTATTAGCTTTATTTAAAGTAAGTTCAACAGGATAAATTTCTTTAGTATACATACTGAAGTCGTCATTATTGAGAGCCAAAATATCATCCAAATATCTAAAAGTATTATTAAATTTGTGTATCAGATGTTGTTTCGATGGGTCTTTACTGATTTTTGTCATAAATTGTAACTCATAGCAATACAAAAAAAGGTCCGCAATAAGTGGTGCACAGTTAGTCCCCATTGGAATTCCGATAACCTGACGATATACGGAATCTCCAAAGCGAACAAAAATGTTATCTAGTAAAAATTCAAGGGCATATATAGTATCAAAGCATGTCCAATTGACATAGTTTTTTTGTTTATTGCTACTAAAAAATGACCTAAAAGAGTTTGAACATATATATTCACATTCTGACTTTTTAAATGCCCATTTAATTAAGTGTGTGAATTTTTTCTTAATGAGAATGTGAGGCAATGTGGTATATAGGGTAGAAAAATCAAAACTTTGAACAGATTCAAAATCACCAATATATGCATGCAATAAGTCTTTTATAGACGATACGCGCGCCTGGCGTACAAGATTAAAAGTCTGGTATCTTTGATGATTTTTTTCTGACATAATCAAAATAGTAACAAACGATATTGAAATTAAAGATATGATTGGAATATTTGATTTTATATTTCGCAGTTGATGATAGAATGTGCATGTTTGTGTTGACAAAACTGCATTTGCCCGTTTTGATTGATTGATTGAGTGTTACTTCATTAACCTTAATAGTTTACTGAATTGTATAACAACTTTCTTGATTGAGTCAAAACAAAAAATAAGACTTATCCGAAGCGTTTTCTGATTTTTTTTGTATTTTAGAACCACCACCACCACCATCACCATCACCACCACCGCCGCCACCACCAACTCACCCAAGTGAGTAAGATAATAACTCTACTGTCAATATGTACATGTATTTTCATGCACAATAGTTTCCTACGAGTGCAACCGACTGTATATCGGTCTTTATATGTTTATCAAAATGTAACGGTGAGTAAATTAGATTGTACACTTGTCAACAACAAAAAAAATCCACCAGATAATTTCTTAGATTCTTTTCTTTATTGTGATGCGTTGGTATTTTGTTTTTTATTGTGATGCGTTGGTATTCTTGTTTTTTATTGTGATGCGTTGGTAATCTTGTTTTTTATTGTGATGCGTTGGTATTCTTGTTTTTTTTATGTAATTTCTATTTTAAATGCTCTTTCGTTAATTTAGTTGCGGCGTTTTGTTGATCTAAAGATTTTTTTTATGGTGTCATACAATTAAGCATTCTTGCTAATTTGTATGTGTTTTATATTTATGTTTGTTTTCTTGAGGCCAGTTAACCTAACATCAGATTGAGGTTCATTGTAGGGCTTTATCATGTATATTGTGTTTTTTTGGTCAACTCATTCTTATGTAGCTACTTTTGGCTCCATTGTAGTTTCAAACTTGTGTTATGAGTAGAAACGATGTATATTAATATTTGAGACAGTTACCCAATAACAAAATTGTTGGTTCTTAATACAATTTTAATTCGTTATGTTTGGAAAATCTGCAAACTACAGCAACTATTGCCGCTTATCTATTTCTTTAAGGCGAATATTCGCAATTGTTGTATTGTTTTTTCAATCGTTTTATTTTTGATTTTGATCGTTTTACCATTAAAGTTACAGACATGTCGTTTATATTTGGTAAATTATTTAGAAGATATTTAAAAATCATTTTTATTTTTCAAGTTATGTTGGTGGTATTTCAAATGAAAATATCATATAGGATTACACATTCTAGTGTAAATGTTTCCATAAGGACTAACAGATATACTTATTGTTGAAAGATTAAAAAATAACACGGTATGTTCTCACTTTACAATTTGGTCAGATTCTTTTACTCATATGCATTTGCTTTGCAAATGAATGTTTTTCATTGAATAATTTAACAGTTTTTCCAATTTATTATATTTGATGATAAATTGGAGTTCAAACTTGTGTATCGTTACTTTTGTTGACTAGTATATTTCATTTTTGAAGGAAAATCAAAGCCTGGTTTGTGTCCAAAACCAAGCGGTGCTGGTATTTGTGTAGAAAGATGTAGCGGAGATTCTAATTGCCCAGGATTTCAGAAATGTTGTTCTAACGGATGCGGACACGTTTGTACCAATCCTTCAGGTATCTGATACTTTCTTGCAATCAAAGGCTTTACAAAAACTAGTTTGATAAAAAATTGTGCATCAATGTAACCAGTAGAACAAGAAAAGATCTTAATCTGATAATTACACGACCAATGTATGTTTTCCTTCACAATTCTCCTTAGTAACAGTTGCCAAGGTAAGTGTTAAGTAACAAAGGGAATTGAGAATACGTTTGAGCAAAGCAAATGAACAAATAAACAAAAAAAGAAAATTTAAACCTTTCAATTAGGTTTGCTATACAATTGGAAATGATTGACAAAATGGGAACTTGATTAATGTTCTATTCTTAAATACATAGAACGACGTTGATATTTTATCATTCCAGGAAAATCAAAGCCTGGTTTTTGTCCAAAACCAAGCGGTGCTGGTATTTGTGTAGAAAGATGTAGCGGAGATTCTAATTGCCCTGGATATCAGAAATGTTGTTCTAACGGATGCGGACACGTTTGTACCAATCCTTCAGGTATCTGATACTTTCTTGCAATCAAAGGCTTTAAATGTCATGTCCATGTGCAATTTGTAGATAGTATTTCGATTTAAGCTGGTGGAACGAAATGATAAATGTAAAAGATAAGATGAATTACATGTGATGAAACTGTATGTACATTAATATCAATATGAAAAACTAAGAAAAGATACCAGGCATATAATCTGGTACACCAGATGCGCGTCTCGGCCACACAAGACTCACCAGTGGCACTCGAAAGAAGACAGCTGGATGATCAAATCAAATATAAAGTAAAGTAGTTTTAAATATAGAAAATTAACAAAAATAATGTCTTTTCTAGATGTGGCTATTTATAGTCTACGATCAATACGACGTGATATATGCATTGCGAGATATTATTTTTCTGTGCACGCACATGGTCTCTTAATGTTTAAAGTTGACGTCATTCACTCATTCTATCCACGCGTGTGTCTGTTTTTACTAGGACTCACGACTTATAATTGCGATCGATATATTACCTTAAATTTTAGTTTTTTATGATCTTGTATAGAAAGATTATTTGAATATTGAACATTTATTTCAAATTTTTTTGATGAAAAGTCTTTGATTTTGATATTTTGATTCTGTTGTTTGATATCCAGCGTTTAGGATGTATAAAACTAGTTATAATATTTTTAGTTACGATTTTGTGAAAACAATTTTTAAAGTAATTAACATATTTTTCTGTATTTGCAGGACCATCTCCATCGCCTCCACCTCCCCCACCTCCACCACCACCGTTTCCGCCTCAATCAAGTGAGTGTGATCAATATAACAGAAAAAATATAAACACCAAGATTAAAATGTAAAGGTTGTTGCCAAATACCGATTAAGAATTTCTATTTTCTTTAAATAATGAGTCAAAGAATTGGTCAATTTAGATTTTTTTCATAATGAAGAACAATGAATTAGACTTGACACATTTGAGTGCAAACTCCCTTTTATCGGTTTCAAAAATATGTTTGCCGAATTTGAGAATGTTATAACGCTCAGCTAAGTATTAAGATATAATCATATTGTTATTCAGTCATCAAATATGTATATAAAAATAAGAAGATGTGGTATAAGCCAAGGACACAATTCTCTACCCGAGACCAAATGACATAGAAGTTAACAGCTATAGGACACCGTACGGCCTTCAACAATGAGCAAAAACCCATACCGCATAGTCAGCTATAAAAGCTATATAAACTTCTGTTCATGACAAAAGTAAAACAATTCATACGAGAAAACTAACGGCCTCATTTGTGTAAAAGCAATGAACGAAATACAAATATGATCTACAGCAACAAACGACATCAACTGAATTACAGGATCTTGACTCGGGACAGGCACATACAGAATATGGCGAGGATAAACATGTTAGCGGGCGCTCAACCCTCCCCTAACCTGGGACAGTGGTGTAACAGTACAACATATAAACAAACTATAAAAAGCAGTATGAAAGCGCTACAACTCATCAAATCGTTACAAAGCAGAAAAATAACAAAAACACAGACCTCACGTGACAAGGTATGCATCCAACAACAACAAAGACACTATGTATAGGTCTGAGGGTGCTCGCATTTTTTGACAGCTAGTTCAAAGCCATTAACAACAAGTAAAAAAATCAAATATCTACGACTAAAGAATCAATCAGCACACATCCAACATCCAATGGATTTAGTGTAAAGACGCCATTAACAGTCAGAGAAAAACATGACCTTGTACATTGCCAAAATACAGGTATCGACAGATTGAAAAATGTGAATGTGCATATGTATATGTATAGAACAATGATATTAGTTTGGTTTTATTTTACTCATAACAAAATTAATATTTATTCCAATAAAAACAATACTTAAAGATCTAATTACAGTGTCAAATTGGTAACCTTTAAAAATAATTTTATTCATACATGTTAAAGGATCGATTAGTCAACCTGGATCTTATCTCAGTTTCCGGGATCGCTAAACAACGTCTCCGTAAAAACAAGATGTGCTATCCCGTTTGAAATAAGTTTTCTACAGCCAAACTTACAAACAAAATATGTACATCTATGGAAGAATTTAGTAAATGTTTTGAGTTATTCATGGTACTGTAAATTCAGAAATTATTGCGTGTTTTTAATTAATGCGAATAATGCGACTGGGTGAGTTTAGCAATAATGATAATTCGCATTTTAATATTTGATACATATATCTGTATGCAACTTTTCCAGAAATCGCAATAATTTATATCGCGTTTTTTACCATTCTTCCAAAATCGCAATAATTTGTGAATTTACAATAACGAAATCCCTGACTAAATAATTTACCAGCAATACATAGATTACGTTCATTGAAAACCAAAACGTCACTGCAGACACGGACAAAGCGAACCAGATGTGAAATATAAAAACACTGTAAGATGCTGCCGTAGGATATTTCACTATCCACATATTTTTAATTTATTAGGTATTTAACTTATATATATGTAGAGCACGAAGGATGACTGAAACTCAATTTACTTATTTTTTCATAACAAATTTCACGTGAAAGTAAAAGATTTTATTGATATCATTTCATGATAATTATAAAAAATGAGCTTTTTTTGTTCGTTTTTCTTTGTGTAGTTTGTGAAAAAGGAACACCATTCCCTAACACCAACTGTGGATTAGGACCAGCCAGTAAAACATGCCCACGTGGTTATTACTGTAAAACCCACCCAACAGATCATTATGCAGTATGCTGCCAAAATCGTAAGTTAATTAACCTCTAAATAGGACTATAATCGCATAGAAAAATGTACATTGTTATGCTGTGTCGCCTATAAAATTATGAAAATATTTTTTAGCAAAAGCTTTATTTGTTTTACATATATGAGGTTCTAATACAAAGACTTTGTTTTAAAACATGAAGATATACATTTAAGCTTTTAAAAGTTACCATAATAGTACAGTTCGATAGCATTTGACAAGGTTTGAGTACAATTGTTTTGATGATGAAAAGAGTTGTTTATATTAAACTTGTCCTCATGTTTCCAGTAGTTTCTATTTAAAGCACTCTTTTTTTTGTCTCCTTACAACACAAACATCGTTATAGACCCATTCACCCATTTCAACAGACTGCAGGTTTTACAAACTGTCCATCGTTCCTGAAGTAATATTAATTTGGTATTTACGTCACATCTTAATTTGTGGAAACAATAATCGGGTATAAATGGAAATATAAACTAATGTAAGAAGTCTAGGCTTGTTTTACGCTAAGCAGGTATCTGGAAGGTATTTACGCTAATGAACTTAAATAACAAATACGTTCGTTTTCTATACACTCAGGAAAGGTAGTTATGGAGATACTTTTTAAGATTGTAATATCTTTGCACAAACAATTCCGTCGCAGAGTTTGATTCCCGTAATTGTAGTAGATAAGAATTTTTTTTATTCACAACTCAGGCTGTTCTTGGAACATAGCATTTGACGTTATAATCCTTTGAAGTTTAATTTAATTTGCGCTGAGCTAAATATAAGTTTGTAACTCTTTTATAAATTAAGAGACTGTAAGTACAGGGAATAATTATGCAATGCATGAAAACAAACATCACCAAGCCACCAATAATATTTTATCATATTGTCAAGTGCGACAGTAAGAACATTCTTCGCATGGGCTCTACCAAGTTTGTGATTAATTTGATAGTAGTAGTACTAATCATTGATCTATGACTCAAATGCAAATTACTGCCAACGTGAATAATGATATTTCTTATTGGTTCGTATTCATTTAACTCTGTTCATTCCTCCACTTTCTACTACAATACACAATTGAAATGTGGTTAAAGAATATGCCTAGGCGATGAATATAATGAAAATATGACATTAATTATAAAAATGTCACGTTTTTTTGATATATTAGAGCGCTGAATAAGAATCCTTACATAACAACCTTTTCTTTTAGAATTTTTCATTAAAAACTATTGTTTTGAAATATAAAATATTACATTTCCTTTAATATTGTAATAAATGAACAGGTTGCATTTTTGTAATGCGCTATTGCGAGCATAAGAACAAATTGTAGTTAAACATGTCACTCTTTGTTTTCTCTATTTTTACAGCCTGCTCATATGGAATACCACATTCAACGTTAAGTTGTGGAATGGTGATTGGATCTAACAAATGTCCTAATGGCTATTCCTGTGTAGCAGGTGCTGCTGATGAATTTTTTGCATGTTGTCCAACAAGTATGTTTCATAAACTTATGTCTCATCCCTCTTTCATATCAAATGAATAAGATATATTTAAACTAACAAGTGTGTTCGTTTGAAAACTTTTCAAATTAGGTAGAAATCAAGATCATGATGTGCAGAAATTACAATGTGAAAGATTTTTTTATTTTGTTGATTTTATTCCTAATTGTGCCCTTTTACCTTAGAAAGTTTGACTCTTACCAGAACTGACCTTGTGATCACAATTTCTCGTACATTATTATTCGTATTAAAATGAAACTTACTACATTCTACTAGATTCTTATTTTTAGATGTGCATGTGGGTAAGATATTCCGGTAAATTTAGTTTTTGTTAATTATGCACTTTCAAATTAGACTTTTTGACAAATCCGATATTGTCGTCACAACTACTTCTACATAGTTTATCGAATCAACAAAACGAAAGTTATTACATTGTTAGATCATAATATACAAATGTGCGTGTAGGTAGAATATTCAGCTCCGTTGAGTTGATTTTAGTATTGATGTTTCTTCGAACTTAGAAATGCAGAACCGACATTGTGATCATAACTCGTCATGGTTTATCCTATCGACAAATCACATTGTTAGATTCTTATATACAGATATGAATATGGGTAATATTTTCTGGTCGATCTATCGTTTAAATTTATGCCCCTTTCACCAAGAGAATCGGAAAATAGTGATATTCTAACTAATTTCTCGAAGAAAAACTGACAAGGCCATGGCAAAAAACGAAGTACCACTAAAAGACAAATAAGTTTACAAAACACAACAAAAGGGAAAAAAACTGAGCAATACTACACCAACCATCATCCTGAGAAACACAAACCCCACCGTACACTGACCAGATGAAATATATATTCCTTGTCAATAAACACAGCCATTCAGACTTCCAATGATACTTGGAGGTCTATAATCGTCTGCAGAGACAACATTAAACACAACAATACACGATGCGGGTGTATTTTTCTAGCTTAGTGAACAGTTCCAGTTAAATTTGATAACGAAAAGGACACTTTATGTATTTCAGAACCGTCACCATCACCGCCACCGCCACCAACTCTTCCAAGTGAGTACGATAAAAACTTTACGATAAAAACTTTACAACTAATATGAATGTAATGCAATCAGTTAACCATTTGTTAGACCAGAAGGTCATTAGATTTTTTAGTTAGGAACAGGCTAAACAAAGTGTAACGGTGAGTATGTACTTCCAAAATGCGCCTTTTAAACTTGTGCATAAAAATTCTACCAGATTATATCTCGAATCCTATTTTGTTTTTGGTTTTTTGGTTGATTGTATAATATCATTAAGCATTCTTGTTACCAGTGTCATCACAATATATGGTTCATTGTAGGTCCTTATTGTGGTGTTTCAGTTAGTTAAACTATTCTCATATAGCTACGTTTGGCTGTATTGAAGTTTGAGCCTTGTGTTATGAGTTAGAGGATATATAAATACTAGTATACGAGACAACAACCCAATAAGACAATTGCTGGTTTATATGCAACTTTATTTCGTTATGTTTAGAAAATCTATTTTCGTCAATCTATTTCTTCATGGCGAGTTTTCACGATTTTTGAGTTGTTGTTTTAAAGTTTTTAATGTTGATTTTGGTCTACTTATCCGTAAGTTTAGGATACACCGGTTGTTTTTGGTAAATACTGAATAAAGTATATTTGAAATATTTTACTTTTTTAAGTTTTGTTGGTGGTATATCATACTAAAATATTAACAGCGAGGATAACAAATTCTAGTGCGAATGCTTTCAGAAGGACACAGATATACTTATTTTTTATATCTTTAAAACAAAACGAAGAAGTGTTTCTATGTATACGAGCGAATTCTTATCAATTAATTTGTTCACTGAGATTACATTAATGGCATAAGGCGATAATAATCAAGTTTTTCGGTCAGCATTACGAATTGTTTGACAGAATGGTGTGTAGATGTCTCTTCTCACTAGGTACATGTTTTCGCGGTATTAGATCTTTAGATACCATACTAGTCATATGAACTCTAATTGTCCTTTTCCCGTTTATGACATGTTTTAAATGAGTGTGAATTCGCAAGGAGGGTGATGGAAGCATACCAGGGGAGACACTTAACCTATTGACACATCCGATTTTGCTCCTTATTGAGGTCATGCGATTTCCTCAGTTTTTGTTTGTCACCTTGATTTGTCTCTTCTTCATTGATTTACGCGTTATGAATGACGCTTAACTACTGTCGCCATAAACAGTCATGACTTTCATATTGGAGAGTTATAGATATTAGGAAAAAGTTCGACAAAATAACAAAAAGAGAACTAAGTGAATTAGGTCATAAAACCTTTTTTTTTTAACTTATACTAATTAATTTCCAAGGAAAACCAAAACCAGGTTCCTGTCCAAAACCGAAACCAGGAACGGCAGGTATTTGTCTTCAAAGATGCAATGGAGATTTTGATTGTCGAGGAGATGAAAAATGTTGTTCTAACGGCTGCGGAAATGAATGTTTGGATCCTGAAGGTAGCGATTGTTTGTAGTTTGATAATACCGTCAGGCTAAACTTGTATAATATTTTGTTTTACATCCCATTCCTTAATAATCTACACACAAAAAATACAGTTCATTTTATGTTAGATATTCCTTCAAAACAAAACCATTATATAGTTTTGCATAGTTTTCTAGGTACATCACAGAGCAAACATTATGTTAATATAAAGCAAAAATATAAAACTGTACTAGATACATGTATAAAGATAAGTAGATGTGGTATTATTGCTAACGATAAAACTATCCACCAGAGTTTTAAAAAAATGAATCAAAGTAATTATATGTCATTGTACGTGTAATTTGTGTTTTAAGTTTGTGTATCTTGTACTTTCTTGTTTGCGTATTTGTAAAAAGTTGAAAACAGCGATAAAATTAGATAAAACCGGACATGTTGTAAACATGTGTTCTTATCCATATAAAAATAGAGACACTCAAACTAATTAGTACAGCATATTTTGGACAGGCTGTCATACAAGTGAGGGGTTTAGCTAGCTATAAAACCAGGTTTAATCCACCATTTTCTACATAAGAAAATGCTTGTACCAAGTCAGGAATATGACATTTGTTATTCGTTCGTTTGATGTGTTTGAGCTTTTGATTTTGCCATTTGATTACGGACTTTCAGTTTTGAATTTTCCTCGGAGTTCGGTATTTTTGTTATTTTACTTTTCAAAATACACGCCGAAAGATGCTGTGAAAAAGCATTCAGGATGCTGTTTGAATTTAGACGTTCAGACATATCAAACAAACTTCAAATTTGGTTGTCTGTTTCTGCTTTAATAAATAATAATGAATAGATGATATGCTGTATACAAGTCAATAAAACAGCAAACCAACAACACAAATAACGAATTTACACAAGACAATATAAAATTTTCAACATGTTTACCTTTTCTGAGAGATTAATTAGGAACAGTTGTGTTAAAGGGATAGCATTCGTCATAGCACTAAAAGTAAAATAACAAAAATACCGATCTCCAAGGAAAATTAAAAACGGAAAGTCACTTATCAAATGGCAAAATCAAAAACTAAAACACGTCAAACATTTGAAAAAGTAACTGAGTCAGAAATTTACGTTTCCCTGGACAGTATCTTTGTTCACTTCATATAAAAGCTAAATTCTGATTAATATATATATATATATATATATAGAGTCTATAAGAATCTACCAACCAGTAAACTTAATAGGTATTGGATCATCAAAATTGACAATACTACACAAACAGTGTTTTCCATCTATTTATCGGTATTGTTACACAATCTTTTAGACTCATATATATATATTTCTCTAATTCTTCGTCAATTTATCTCTTTCTGCACCCATTGTATAAAAAAAATTTAATCAACGTGTGGTTCGTTTGATCTCAGTTCTTCATTGGTTAAAATCCGATTATGACGTCGAATTTTCTTGCTTTCCTCTGGATTTCCTATTGTGACGGCATGAAAAAAGGCGACCATGCCTGATGACGTCACATAGAAAGAACACATGTTTTTGCAAATCATTCGAAAAGAAGGAATAACTTCGCCTGCATATTGTTAGAAAATCATTAGAGAAACAGATTCCACCACCAAATCTCGTGTAATACGATATTTATCCACTCTCGACAGTTAAATTTTAAATATTTAAAACGCTCGGCGAGCCTCGCGTTTTAAATTTGAAAATTTAACTGTCTCGAGTGGATAAATATCGTATCACACTCGATGCAGTATATGATATATATGAACCACAACTATAGTAGATTTGTAATTTTTTATTATTCGACACAATCTCAACAATAACATCCAATCTGCTATATCTCATATTTTATTTATATAATATATGTAATAGTAATCATAAATATACAGTTTTTATGTAAAATCATGATCAACTAAATATAAGTGATAGATAAGAAAAACTGCTAAATATAAACATTGATAATATCAGATTTAAACTTTGTTAAATGTTTCTACCGGCTATTGTATTTTATTTCATCTTCTATTTTAGTTAGAGTAATACCATCATGTAAAGTAGGAGAACCTTTACCAAATATTTTCTGCGGACGTGGTCTGAATCGTAGGGATTGTCCAAAGGATTATTCCTGCAACATTGATCCAACTGATAGATTTGCTGTTTGTTGTCAAAATGGTAATTGTGTTGTTAGAGCTATTATCAACACTGAGAATAAATCTGTATTTATGACAAATTATTTAAAAACTTGTTTAAGTGTAATTACTATGTAGCCGTAGCCAAAACCTTTAAAATACTTTACAGAGATGGTAATACAAACTTACCCCGCCACATTTTGTATGTATGTGCAGGTCCAAAGTCAGGAGCCTGTAATTCAGTGGTTGTCGTTTGTTTGTTGCTGTGTTACATATTTGTTTTTCGTTTATTTCTTTGTACATAAATTAGGCCGTTAGTTTTCTCGTTTAAATTGTTTTACATTTGTCATTTCGGGGACTTTTATAGCTGAACTTTGCTCATTTGAGGACCTATAGTTGCTAACTTCTGTGTCATTTTGTCTCTTGTGTAGAGTTGTCTCATTGGCAATCATACCACATCTTCTTTTTTATATTAACTTGGTATTCAAAATTCTACAAACCTGACAGTGCTCGTCGCATCAAAAGACCTTTTTGCAGATAAAAGTGTGATCTTTCAGAGAAAAATATATATATATATATATTCTTATGTTAGAAATTGGCAAGCTTCTTCATCATTTGGTCTCTGTTGAAGAGTTGTCTCATTGGCAATCATACTTCATATTCTTATTTTTATATACATATATTTGTAGAACAATGTCATGTACGTACCATCTTTTCTGGTTTTTACAGGACCACCATCTTCAACTCAACTACCGCCACTTCCGAGTAATTCTGGTGAGTTTGATAAGTTACTAATAAACAAAATAAAATATACCATCTTAAACAGAGCAAACCCGAACTATAAAATTTCTATCTGTTAAACAAAAATATGTCATAGTTATAACTAAGAATTCATCGTTTTGTATAGGTTTTTATTATTATACGGATCAGCGAATTGAACGTTAACCCACTCTTGTTTAGATGCCAACTTCCTTTTATAATGAGAATATGATTACTTGTCTTGAAAATGTTATAGCGTTCAACATAATATATAGATATTTTCCTATTTTTCAAATTTTATCATTTTTCTTAGTTTGTTTCACCTTAAAAAAATGGATCTAAAAATATTATTCAATGTTAATTATGATAAGACATTGATTTCACTTTTTCTTTGGACAGTTTGTGAATGGGGAACACCATTACCTAACCTCAACTGTGGATTAAGACCATGCCCACGTGGTTATTATTGTAAAAATAACCCAATAGAACAATTAAGAGCATGCTGTCGAAATCGTAAGTTCATCTCAAAATGTAGCCGACAGTAGTTTGAGGTTGTTTATTTCATAAATCGATTACGAAGTGACAAATCAATGTAAAAACTAAAACCAAAAGGAATCGCATGACCAACAAAAGAAACGAACAAGGGTGCGTTGACAGGGTTAGCGTCTCCTGTTATGCAAATTTTAACTCAATCAAAATGTCACAGTTTGGAATAGGACACGACTATATTAAAAGTTTTGCCAAATTGTGCTAAGGTTATCTATTCCTGAGGTAGAAAAGCCTTAGTATTTAATTTGGTATCTACCATCTAAGACCGCGAAAAACTGTCGCAATAGATTTGAGAAATTAGGACTATAGAACTATAATCACACTCGAAATTTTATTTCTTTTGTTGTATTCTGTCACCTGAAAAATTGTACGTTCTCTCCCTTGTTTATCAAATGGCACCTTGTTTTACAAATGATCGAACAAATTTACATCAATTAAAAAAAATGAAATAAAATACCATCAAACCATAATACAATTTATTTGCTTTGTACTCCTTTTTTTTATGCAAAAATTATTTTTTATGTCTATATTTTCAAATACCTTCTTTGTGACAAAACCTTTACAAAATTGTCTTTTAGCGGAATGCCATTTTTATGTTTTAGACTGGCGGCATTTGTTAGTTATTATAATTTTCCTTTAATGACCAGGTTATGCCTACCGTTTGAAAACTCAGGAACCATGTATTTTTCTTGTGACTCATAATGTTCTATTTGAAAATGTTTTCCAATATTAGGGCTTGTCTCCGTGTGTTGTATTTTTTCTCAGCCTATTTCTTAAAAGTTAATTCATTTGGTACAACGGGTCATTATAATGTCTGGCGAGTTTATATTAACCCGTATTTCATAAATTTAAAAAGTTTCTTATGGTAATACATGATCTTTCAACCAATCAAAAACAATTTTTATTACATAATGACTTACCACCGATTGTAATGACCCATTAGAATTCAGCATGAGAATGGAAAAGTTGTCATTGGTGGAACAAATTTTTAAAAAATCATCAACTTAGCGCATGTTTCTAAATTAATTTCGATGTGGTATGTTTTCGTCTAATGTTGCCTATAAGTCTTTTTTATTTAGACTTAACGATGTAATTGTTTTTTTACTAATGACCCTTTACCCCCTTGTTTGTATTTTCTTTTATTCCTTTCTCTCCCTTTTTCCTTCGTCTCTTTACTAAAACGATTTACATGTAGCATGTATCTAATCCTTATGCTTTGCCGAAATCAAATATACGTATAGACAATTAAAAGCCTTGGTTTTTATTTTTGTCCTAGCATATAGAAAGAATATCATACACTTAATACAGAGAAACGTTTGGGAAAAAAAACCGAACAAGATAATAAATGATTGGAAAAAGGGAAATAAAGCATGATTGGTAAAGTCACTATCATTCAAACACTGATAATTCCTAATATTACACATGTTGCATCACTGATAAATAGATGCAAAAGAGAGGCGAAAAATACAAAAGGGATTTTTAAACTCATAAGTACAACAACAAACAGAACATGACATTGCAAAAAAACGAAAAACGACGAAAAGACAAACAACAGTACACAAAACATAACACAAATACTCAAGACTTAGCAACACTAACCCTACCCAAAGCCGGAATTAACAGACTTATTCAGAAGTGATATAGTTACGATATTGTTGTCAGGTAATTAAAGATGAAATTTTTTTAATTAATATTAATTCACTATTAGGGTCTTTGCATCGGAAATAAACAGATTTATTCTAAAACCTGTTGTTGGCATGATACGGGTTATGTTCTTCTCGTATATTGTATGATGGTATGATACAAAACGCCTAACGGTTTAATTGAGGTCTGGAGCTAGCATGTCAGTAACTGCCAGTAGTCCTTTTTAAATAAGTGCATCATTGTCATTTTGCTTAGTTTCTTCTGTTACCTATTCATGTTATTCTGACATCTGACTCAGACTTTTTTTAAACTGAGTTTTACTGTTCGTATTGCTTCGTGTTTGTTTATTCTACATTGGCTATAGGTATAGGGGGAGGGTTGAGATCTCTCAATTTTTTTTAAACCCGCCGCATTTTTTTGCTTGTCCAAAGTCAGGAGCCTCTGGTCTTTGTGAGTCTTGTATGTTGTTTTTTTTCAATTTTGTTCATTTATATGTTTCGGAGTTTAGTGTGACGCCATTTTCGCTGAACTAGTACACATTTTTTTTTGTTAGGAGCCAGCTAAAGCCCGCCTACGGGTGCGTGATTTTCTCGCTGTGTTGAAGACATTGGTGGCCTTGGGCTGTTTCCTTCTCTTTGGTCGGGTTGTTGTCTCTTTGACACATTCCCAGTGTCCATTCTTAAAGTTATCATATGCTCCGGAAGGGTAAGCAAATCCTGCTCCCCATATGGCACCCGTCTTAATCTAATATAAGTTTAAGAAAATCATATTTTTTTTCGGGAGGGAAGTAGCGGGAAAGTTAGGAAAAGATTATTTAAAAAATAGGTTAAAATGACGGATTGATTAATACATTGAAGCAATAAAAATAAATTGGATTAAAGACTAACTGGTGAAACTTAAGCAAACTTTGAAAATTATTCAAACCTACTATTCAGTGAGTTCGGGTGTAAAACTTGATATTTAGAAAGAATATGGGTTCTCATAAATTATTCGAAAAACTCAAAAAAATGCCCACTTTTTACTTAAAAATCTTTAATGGTTGGATGATAAAAGATAAAAGGGGAAAAATCTCTGCAGATTTAATAGATATTAAGAAACAAGTTATATGGGGTATTCTGTATATACATAAAGAGTCAAGGCAAAAATTTATATTTTAGTCATTGGGTCGAAGAAGATAAAGGTAAATCCAGAAAAGCGCTTTGGAGGCATGGAATTTATAACGTGTTGTTTTCATTTCTTACAGAACTATCAGTCCCCGATGGTATCTTCATTCCAGTAGTCAGAACTTCGGTACTGACAAGATTTACAACAAACCTTTCTAAAAAGGGAGAAAACAATTGCCTTTTCCTTGATTTCTTTTATGCACCAGAAATGGTTGATCATAATATTTTTAAAAACTTTACACATTTCTATCGTGTTTGAATTCTTTGAATAATGAGATATTATTAAAAAGACAATTCTAAACCTCTGGTTTCATTGGCAATCAACACTACATGGAATAACCTTAGTGTCATTGTTGTAGCGATAAGGGGGATTGCTCACAACTATTTTTTGACACAATAACTAATTTTTGAAGCTGGTTAAAAAAAAAACAATTAAATGTCACTTACACAACCATATTTGATTCACTCGAGAAACATTTATCAAGGTACGGTTGAATACATACATACCATTAAAACACGTCAACAGTTTATGTTTGTATTCATGTTGTTCAAGCGCTTTTAGAAATGTGTTTTTAATACATACATCAGGGGCGTAGCTGGCCTAAAATAAAGTGCAAGCATAAGTCTTGTATCGCCGAACGGAGCGAGGCGAAAAATATTTTGGGACCTTTTTATGCAGAAAATGATAATTTTTCGGTCATTTTCCAGGTATGCCATGCTTATGAAATTCACATTACTCCTTATTAACATGGTTGTTTTCAAATATAAAATAAATTTTATAAAACGGGAAGATCAGTCGACAAGTCAACCGAAGCGTTTATCAATAGAAGGGCAATCAACGGACACATGACCAACCCGGGAACAGATAAGACACAAAAGAACAAACAAAAACATTCAATATTGAAAACTAAATACAGAAAAAAACAACAAGAACCCCGAAAAAAAATGTGGCGACCTCCAGTGCTCCGGAAGGGTAAGCAAGTCCTGCTTCTTGCAAGACACCCGACCGTAGCGTTTCTCACTAAGGTCATTTTCGAATCAAAGGAGCCTGAGGTTTCTACGACAACGGTAGAAGGTCACTTGGGACACAGATACCCAAGGTGAATTAATAGTCTTTTGGACGAACGGACAATGGGAATACGAAATCAAACGGCGACTTTTAAGTCTTGACTTATAAGTGAGGGATATAAATCTTAGATGTTTTCAAGGTTATTGTATTGAGCCTGTATTATTAAATGTTAATACTCATGTAAGACTTAAAGTAAAGTTAATATCCAAAGTCCATATATCTATTTTTTGCCAAGGCAAAAGATCGCAGAACTCTCTCGGTGTCGATATTCATTTCTCTGTGAACATGTATGAGCGCCAACGAAGATAGTCTGTCCTATACCATGGTTGAACGGGGATAAGTTTTAAGTCGCCGTAATGCACTAAATGACCGTTCAGTAGTTGATGTAGTTACTGGCATTGTAACTAAGATTGACACGATTGCAAACTATTGAAGGATATAGTTTCTTTTTAGTCACTGCTAGAGACGACATCAGAGATTTGGGCTACTCTATAACATCTGGACCCGACCAGCGTCTCTGCCATCTCTTTACCTCAGAGTTGAAGGTTTCTTGATTGTCCGTCAAGTCGTGTCTAAATGTTTCATATATTTTGTCTATACACTCTGCTGTCAAAGATTCCAAACGTGCAGGTATTTAATTGAAATTAAGGTTCTGGCCTTGAAAACGATCAGAATTATCCAGTAAACGTCCTGTGAGTTCTTCAATGAAATAGTCAAGAAAGGAGAAATACAAGGCTCGCTTCCAATATTGACTTGGAGTGTCAGCTGGATAGTTAGCCCGGTTGACCTGTCTTCCTACTCATTCGTAATTTAATTTCAGAATTATTTTTTTTTGTGAAAAAAATGTGCAAGCAAATGATTTTTTGCGTAAAGGCAGCTACGCGCCTGTACATGCCATTAAAACTACGTCAACGGTTTATTGTGGTACCCATGTTGCTCAAGCGCTTTGAGAAATATGTTATTGGCTGTTGTTTGCCCTTAAGTCTTTTTTTTTTCTTCTGGCAAAGGTATTCTATGTCTTCGCCCGACTACACCCACTCTTCAAACTTCTAATTTCAATACTGATCTTTCATCTTTGGTGAGAGGATGATGCAAATATGGGTTATTAAAATATAATAAAAGTATATATTCATATTTTTATATATCCATCTAAGGCTGATTTGTTCTTCCAATATTGTAATACAAATGTATAACTCATTTCGGTTTTAAAATGGAATGTGTAGATGAATGTAATGACATCATGTAAAATTATGATGTTATTTGACATTTTAACACTTACGAAAATAATCTCTACATAAAGTTTATTTTTTGGTATGATTTTCCATTAAAATTGCAGTTAAGAAATAAAAAGTGTAATATGTTCTATAATATTATAATAAATGCATGTAGTATTAAGACCCTAAGAAAAAAATGGTAGTTGAACATATCCTTGTTTTATCTTATTTTTCACAGCCTGCTCATATGGAGTACCAAATACTACGTTAAAATGCGGAATAGTTGTTGGATCGAACAAATGTACAAATGGATATTCCTGTGTGCCAGGTCCTGCGGATGAACCTCCTGTATGTTGTCAAACGGGTACGTTTTTTAACCAATGATACATTCAGGCAAACACTCAAATATTTACAGAATAAATGTTCAATAAATGGTAATGATTTTTTTTTTGCTATGGTCCAACATATTTTTGTCACTTACTGTGTTAGCAGAGAATAATTAAATGGCTTAAACTCTAAGCCGTTTCAGAAATATTTAAAACATTGCGATCACAAGTTAACCAGCTTTGTCTAACTGTAATTAAAAACAGTAATGAAAAAGAGAGGCGACAGATACCAAAGGGACATTCAAACTCATAGGTAAAAAATAAACTGACAACACAATGGCAAAAAAAAAAAAGACCAAAAGACAAACAACATAATTCAAAACAAAACATTGTATATTCAAGACTAAGCAACACGAACCCCACCAAAAACTTGCACATTGTAGTGTTAAAGAAATTCGATAAAATAACCTGGAAAATATATCACAAGAGATGGAAGTGACTTAGGTCATATATAGTGTTACTATAATTAATACTATTTCATTTCCTAGGAAAAACAAAACCGGGCTCCTGTCCAAAACCCAAACCAGGAACGGCAGGTATTTGTCTTCAAAGATGCAATGGAGATTTTGATTGTCGAGGAAATAAAAAATGCTGTTCTAACGGCTGCGGAAATGAATGTTCTGATCCTGAAGGTAACATATTGATAAATGTTACAGTTTGAAACACCCGTGAAGCCAAATTGTTTTGCATCGGCTTTCTGGTCAGTTTTTAATGGTCTGAATACAAACAACGAAAAAAATTAGTAAATATTTCAATAAATCGGGAAATTGAGGAATTCAAATGTTAGTCGCGTTTATATGGTTCACTTCGCTTCCCTAAAATCAAAAGCATAGTTTACTGATGAGTAATATTAGTTTGTAAGATAAAATTAATGAACAAAAACAAATTATGCCAAAAAAAAGTATAATATACTCATCCTATATAAATATCAAATTATTATCTATAAAAGATGAATCATGATCTGATTTATTATTCTCAAAATTGATTTTGTCTTAAAGAGTTTTAAATCATACCATGGTAGGAAAGATAACCAAATGATTTGTTGATAACAGGTTATAAAAAAGGCATTCAAAATAGTGAATTTTTGCATTATACAATATTCTAAAAAATTTAAACCACAATTTGTTCATTAATCTTGGTATTCAGAGCATCCACAACCTCCGAGTTACAAACAATGTTTGAACCTTTGGTGCTCCTCGAAGAATGTAATTTATGGATACGACTTTGAATGAATGTTCACATTTTTATTGATTCAGACGCAATATTAAGGCAAAGAAAGATGATGAAAAAAATCATGAATGTAAAATTTTGAATAAGTGAAAAAATTAATCTAAGTTGACTTTGACTCATAACACACTGAATAAAGGTGTTGAATAAAATTACACTGCTTAAAACGGACAATAGTATTAAATCATTTCAACACGTGGTAAAATAGTTTTCCTAGTTATTGTTTTGATTACATCTTCCCTTTTTTAGTTATTGTAGGGTCATGCAAAGTAGGACAACCTCTACCTAACATTAACTGTGGACGAGGTCCAAATCGTCAGAATTGTCCAAAGCGATATTCCTGCAACGTTCATCCTACTGATAAATATGCTGTTTGTTGTCGAAATGGTAATAGATATGTAGAACTATTTTTTACGATTAATATATTATTTATGACAGAGACAGATATATATATATATTTATAATATCACTGCTTTCAACTGCTTCGGAGTCTCGTGGTAGTGTGCTTATTGCGAGTCATCGCCCGGGTCTTACCTAAATACTTAAAAATAAGTATTTGCTGCTTCTCCGCTAAGCATGGTCATATAGGAGAAAGAACAAAAAATGGTCCAAAGCGATATTCCTGCAACGTTCATCCTACTGATAAATATGCTGTTTGTTGTCGAAATGGTAATAGATATGTAGAACTATTTTTTACGATTAATATATTATTTATGACAGAGACAGATATATATATATATATTTATAATATCACTGCTTTCAACTGCTTCGGAGTCTCGTGGTAGTGTGCTTATTGCGAGTCATCGCCCGGGTCTTACCTAAATACTTAAAAATAAGTATTTGCTGCTTCTCCGCTAAGCATGGTCATATAGGAGAAAGAACAAAAAATGGTCGGTTCGGAGTTCAAATAATGTGTCCGGGTAGGGTGACTTCTTTGTAACAGTCAACCAATAAATACATTTATTTTTTAAGAGGAGGGCATACATATTTATCGCCTTACTACTTTTTATGTACATGAAGAAACCAAAAAAGCAATACTCATAATCGTCGACCCTTGTAAGGTTATCAATATATTGAAAAAAGGAGCAAACAAGTTGAATAGTGACATATTGCTCACTAAGGATTCACCTACAATAAGTTTTAAGTAAAGAGGTTGACGAAAAGACAAATGCAAGTGAAAATGCACCATAGGGTATATGATACTCATAAAATGATTCTAAAATGCGGCGTTCTCTGGTTCGTAGTTTCATTTCTTGTATGGTCATAATGCGTATGAATTTGTTATAAAATTGGTTAATATGAATATTGTGAGTGGTGAATGACAAAGCATGACACGGTTTACGAAGTTCCCACGATATATAATATGCTCATATGAAACCTGAAACCAAATTTCAGCAAGCTCTGATGTGTAAGTTTCGAAAAAATTGCACATGAACTTAATGGGAGGGAGGGTCAGAAGAACGGACGCGCGGACGGAATGATAATTCTAGCACATAATAATTTCTGACAGTCAATTCAAAAACAGTTCTATCCTAGAACAATTTCTGTCCGTTCTATCTCTAGAACGTTAACAGTCTTAGCTAGGTTTATTAATTCGTTTTAATTTTATAGTGATTATTACTAACAAAAAATGTTAAGATATAGTTGTAAACTAAATGATTATAAAGTTTTGTTCATTTTTATAAATATTTTTGTTAAGGTTAAGGACCTTTCCTGTAAGCCTGTATGTTACGAAATTTAAAAAAAAAGTTCTATGATATCAAAACAGCAAAAAATACAGAATAAAAGTGACGTGCCATTTTGTACATATACCAAATGAAAAGTCATTCAAAGCAATATTTTTATAGGTTCATTGCATTTAATAGAAAATTTGGATTTTGGGGCAAAGAAAATCATGCTTTTTGCAGAAATTTATAGACTTGATTACAGAGATGTTCGTTATAAAAGTTTAAACATAGATAACTTACTTGTTTGTCCATGATGTGCCAGCGTTTATTGTTTACAAAAAGTCAAAAACAACCTTTACAATCCAAAACACCTCCCTCAGAGTCACTTAAGTCGAGCGCACCTTAGAAGATGTAATTAAATAGGTCCATATTTATACTTGTTTTCACAAATATCTTCATTTATGAACTTGTGTTTGAGAAATCATTATTAGCCATAATCCTCTATCTGTTAAGCACCGAATTGTCAAATATGAGTGTACAAAAGGAAAGGGCTGTGTTGGGTTTTTTTTAATAAATTTTCTTTTGTTTAGTATTAAAAACACAAAAGTGTACTTATCCTTAATATTATTATTTATTGTGTAAGTTTTGTAACCTGTTTTTATTAGGGTATGTAAATATTTGTCTTCTCTCTTTTCATTGATTAACAATAAAGTCCTTTACTTTTGAAAAATGTTTTGTTTTATACCTTAAAGTTTGTGTTGCGGGAACTTACAGAGGTTATGTCGAAATGCTTAAAAACCTGTTTGATATCTTTGCGGCGCAGTTTTAAGTTTGATATATTATGTGTTTACCTTGTGACTATTCGTCGTCTTGCGTTTTTTGTATTGACGTTATCATAATAAAATAAGACGAGGTGGTATGGTTGCCAAAAAAACTCTCGACAAGAGACCTGACGACAAAGAAATTAACAACTATAGGTCAACGTACGGCCTTCAGCAATTAGCAAATCCATACCGCATAGTCAGCTGTAAAAGGCTCTAAAATGAAAAATGTAAAACATCTCAAACAAATAAACTAACGGCTTTTTTATGTACAAAGTGATAAACGAAAAAATATGTTGCATATATAGCAACAAACGAAGTACCAACCCTCTCCTAACCTGGGACGTTGGTGTAACAGTACAACTTATAGTTTATGCTTCATTAAGTTAGCTCTCGTTACTTATCTGGGTTTGAATCTACCGTTGATCCTTTTTTGTTTTATCATCACTTAAAGGTTTTGAACTTTTAAATATTTTAGCCTCCAACATCACTGTACAAGATATTATTTGTTATTAGATAACGCATCTGGTGCAGTTATATGGAGCCGTTAACATGATTTCATCCAAAATACCTTTGTAATCTAATTTTCAATTACTTTTCATTGTCAAAAAGAAAGAAAATATTGAATTCAAATTCATCGACAGATCAAATACTAATAAAATGTATAAAACCATGCAACTGTCATAAGTTGTTTTAAATGCTAGTAACATAGATTTACTTTTTTTCTATTTACAGTTTACAAGCTGAATGGATGATGTTGAAACATTTCAAAGTTATAATGTAATAAAACAAATTCAATTAACTCTTGTGTTTGTTTATTTTGTTTAACACTGTCGCCTCTTTAGAATAGTATAAACTTTGCATAGCTCAAAAAACAAAATTCACCGTTTAAATGAAAGTATTAATTAAAGAGTAAATCGAGCTTTTATAAAATGTCGAATTATTCAAGGTATTTTCAGATTTTTTAACTGTTTAATGTGTAATTTTTTTTTAATCTCTTTCTCTTTTTGCTATAGAAAGTAAAATCACCAAAATACTGAAATCCGAGGAAAATTCAAAACGGAAAGTCCCTAATCAAATGGCAAAATCAAAAGCTCATACACATCAAACGAATAACTACTGTCATATTCCGACTTGTACATGCATTTAACGCTTGAGGTTAAAAGAAACATGTACATACAAAAACACACAAACATATAAATATATAAACGTACATCGATGTATTGTCGCGTTTCGTTTGTGTTCTTCAGCTGTATTAGGAAATTTACCCCACGCAAGTTTGTCACCATCCCCGTTATAAAAGAGAAAATTGATCACGGCTAAGATTTAAAAGAGGGGCGAAAGAAACCAGAGGGCATTCATGCTCATATGTCGATTGATTGATTGATTTTATGTTGCTAAACATCCAGTGGAAAATATTTCATGCGTGTTCAGGACGAGAACAAGTTAACAATAAATACAATAGGTACATGTAGGTCTTGTAATAGATGCCATCCGGGATGATGGTCGGGGCCGACACTTTGGAATTCCCGTTTTAATATACATATCAAACACTTGTAAATACAAGTAAATTTTGCAGATTACATTATAGTTTCTATTTCTTACCATTCTGTCCTCTTCAAAGGTCTCGTGGTAACATTCTTGCCTTGATAATGTGGAGGTCGTTATTATCCTATATACAAATGGGACACCTACCACAATTCCGGACATAAACGAATTTACTCTTCTATATACCGGAAATGAGCTCATGTTCTTTCGATGGGTAAGCAGATTCTGCTCCACATGAGACAATTCTGTCTCCGTTGGGTCATGCTTATGAAGGTTTAGCTGTTTTGGGTCAATAAATAATCATGACAGAGCCTGTCAAGTGTAATTCATATACATGTATAGGCAAATACCCGTGCAGAAATCCTATAAAGATTTTTAGAGTAGGAGCCAAAAAGTAGAATATATGAAAGCAATACTGAATCTATTACATACATGGGTATATATGAATAATTTGAGTGTTTATCCAAACGAATATTTAGAACTGTTCCATTTAAACACACGTGTTAACCAAAACAAATATGCCTGTATACTTTCAGACACTTTGAGCTATAACTATAAGTACTCATGATCCTACATCTTGTTGGTACTGTTTACTAATATTTTGACATTGCAACATTCATTTTATTCTTGGAATCGACGAAGTATCGAAAAGTGATGCTTCGTATGACATGGAAATATATCAGATCAAAGAACATAAGCGAATAACACCATATGTTCAATGTTATGACGACACCATTATGTAATACTATGCGACTTTTAAAGAAAATGAAGAAAATGATGAATTGATGCAAAGAAACAACCACATATTTTTGATGAAGTGTTATTATCAATTTATTTACATAATCTCAACATATGTAAAGTTGTTTCATGAGTGCATACATACTATTATCAAAAAGTTGATTTTAAAAACATTTTTGGTTTGGCAAATATAAAGAAGCTTTTTATCGGCATATTTTCCCTACAATCTGTTGGAGGTGTTGCTTCTAAATTTTTTCTCAATTTCGAATATAATTGTTTTGACTTATTTCAAATGACTGTCATGAGAATTTTAAATGTGTCTAAAACATAAGGATATTTGGTATGATTGCCAATGAGACAACTTTCCACCAAAGTCATATGACGTTGATATAAGCAATTATAGAACACCATAAGGACATCAACAATGAGATAAACCCATATCGTATAGCTAGCCATAAAATGCCTCTTTCTGAAAAATGTGGCGTAATTCACACATGAAAATTAACGACATTTTTCATAACAATACATTCAAGAACGATAAACTCAGTGTGCTAGTGAGATAGTATCATTAAGTTATCGTCACTTTCTAACAACCACCCTAAAGCGTTTAGTATCTTTATAGCAGCCATATTTAACCTTCACCAACAGATGTCTGCATGATGTTTTTTTCTCAACTATTTTTTATTAAAAAATGAACTGTTATTCACTTGGGAGGGGAGTTGTTCACTTAAGGGGTACTGTGGTGGTTTTTAAATTTTAACCAAGTAGTATGAAAAATACTCTTGTTTAGACTTTTTACTGATTTAAAACCCAGTGCTTCTTAAATAAGCCCCTTCCAAAATGTCCTTCTCTTTGTTTAAACCATTGCATGCATGCCCACACCCTTGTACTATCTCCTTCCCTTGTTTTTAAAGTCAATATGCGACTTTTACCTAATTAACCTTCTATTTGTGTCACTTCAATATTTGTATACAGTACACCAGTAGGAAGTTCTTCCATTTTAATGTTTCTTCATTTTGTCCTTGTACTTTCTCTTCTAAAAAACTAATACCCATAAAGTCCTTATCAAAAGAAGCCATCATCATATAATACTACAGTACTCAAGTCTTTATAGTTATTTTTTTTTCAATTTTGTAGTACTTCTCTAAAATTCACAACGATTACTATATTCAAATTTCTACACCATTTTTTTTAAAAGTCTTAAAAAGGTTTAAAAATTTGGAGTTGTGGCAGAATCGGACTTTTTATATTACTCTCCGGACCACTTGAGTTCACTCTCTTTATTTTCATGGGTGTCTAGATGCGCAATTGCTTTTGATGTCTCTTTTTTTACGTCTGTTTTTCTTCTGTGCCTGGTTTTTCGTGTATCTTTTCGATTTAGTGTTTTGCATTAAAATGACATCGAAATAGAGATTTCGAAAATGTATTCTCTTGTGCGAGTCTATCACCAATTTAATTGGCTTGATATGCGCTACTCGGGGTTTAGACATTGGACACTCGTCGGATTATTTTAGTCATGCATATTTTTAAAAACATAACTTAAATGTTTATTAGACACTCTAATGAAGAATTTTTACAACTTACACAGAACATCAATGCTTAACAAATATTATCGTTAAAAATTGTCAACATTTACACTTTAAAAAAAATTGCTCACATAAATATTAGTTTGTACAGAGAGCACGTAAGTTGACGATTTAAATTCACGATTAATGAGTAAGTTTTACGTAACTATTAACTAACCCAAACGTCTTGTGTACATGTACATGCTACCTTTACTTAATATGTTAAGTCCAGTACAACTTCATTAACCATCTTGCGTAGCCATGAATCCCAGTTCTGTCATCATATTCATTATTATTGATGTCCAAACCAAATTTAAAAGCCATTCTGAACGGGAGGAAAGCCACATGTGCAAGTGCATGTGATGACATTACATCTTGACCCATGACTTGTAGATGGTCCAGGGTACTATAACAACTAACATCAACATTGTCAACTAATAGGCGTCCACTGAAGGTCAAGGGAGCATATACTCCTGTTCCATTCACTGTCTGTATTGATAACACAGTTACCAAAGAAACTGTTTTACTGTCATGTGAAGTCTTTAAAAAGCTAAGTTTATCTCCTGGACTGATAGTGGAGGCATGTTGTGGATTTCTGTTTTTTCCAACAAATATAACATGATCAGGTGTTAGTTTGATTTCTCCAAGGTCATGGGTTATTTTAAGAAATTTGAATATACCAGTTCTTAGGAGATGCAGCCATGCAATCATTTCATCTTGCACAAGATTACCTTTGTCGTCCAATGCGAGAACCCTATCACCTACTGTAAGGGTTTTTATACGTTTATCTCTCCCATTATTGAGCAGTATAACAGAATCTTCATGAAAACAATAACCAGATTTTTCTGATTTAGCAGTATTTTCCCTATTATCTTCTTCTGCTTTTGGATTTTCATAAATGAACTTGTCAACTAAAGCTATACTCATAGCCTTTTGCATCATTATACCTTTTTGTTCACTTATTTCTGATGCAATGTGATATATGGGATACAAATCAAGAGAATTCCATAGAGGAACAGGAGAATATTCTAATGATTCAATCCAGGCTTTCCAATCACTTTGATCTATTTTGTCTAAAGCTGTCTTGTGCGTTTCTCTGATACCACCGTTCCATTCTAATGACATTGAATGAACGGCAGATGAACCTTTGTGAAAACTACTTTCTTTGTCTGCTTTGGAATAATCTATTTCTTCATCTCTCATTAGAAATGAGAATTTTGTTTCCAACCCTATGTGAGTATCTTCAAAAGACTGTTCAGCTTCAATTTTGATCCGACCAGTTAAGGAGCCTCCTATGTATGCACCAGTCACGACATACATTCCCCACTTTTCGAAGAAAGCTCTCCACTTCATCACATTAATTTCATTATTTAGGGCATAGTCTTCAGGTAGAGCTCTTACATCATTTTTAAAATCTATTTTGATTTGAAATGGCTGTGTTACTGTTACTTTCCGATTTCTATGTTCAACTGCAAATGTTTTAATTTTTGAGCTTTCTTCACTGTAACCACTTCGAAGTTTTATGTTAAAGGCCTTAAAATTTATTAATCCACCAAGATTTATGTGTAATTCTCTTAGTCTTTCACTTATATATTCCTTGGTATCCTTTACAGAATCAAATATGATTTTGAACACCGAACATTCATTTACCTGTACATTAACGGGTAGTCCATACTGGTCGCTATGTTCTTCCATCACTACCGGTGACATCAGTGTCACTGAATCAGTCAAAATATTATAACCTTTCCCAACATGGTAGTCAATCCCTACTACTTGTTTATAATGCAAACCAAAAACATCTCCTAAGATCTTTTGCATCTCAGATGTGATTTTAAGTGGATGAAATTTCGACATTAATTGGTTCATTGTCATGGTCTGTAGATCACTGGTATTTGAAATATGAAGATCCCGAAATTTTACTTGAAGTATCAAGATATCGTTATCAAGAGCTATCATATTTTTCTTTTTCTTGTAATTCTCTAGCATGGTACCTACCTCAGAAGAAGAAGGTATCAGTACTATCGACTGAATTAAAATTGTACGCATTTCATCTGCATCTTTCGATGTAACCTCTGATGATGAAAACCTATATCCCTTAACAACACTTTTGTTCATACTATGCCTAAAGCCTATTGCAATGGCTTCATGTCCTATTTTGTCTCCCGCTCTATTGAAAATTCTTTTACATGCTTGATAGAGTATCTTTGGCTGCTTTTCGCCATTAGGTAACAGATGCCAATCGCCATCGCGTTCTAAATCGCTCTCTTCTGGCAAATTTTCTTGAACCACGATCTCTGGTTTAATCCCTAGATAAAGTCGAACAATTGCTCTAACTTCTTCTTTTTTCTTTTTTACTTTTTCTTCCCAAATTTTTGGATTCCGAGCAATGGATGTAGCATGCGTAAGAACAATTACAATATTTGGATTGTAATGGTCAATCGCGCCAATTTGGCTTAATCCTTTTAACATTTTAGCAAAGTTGGAGCTTTCTCCTTCTATTCGGTTGTCATTAATACTCTGTACTATCATCACCAAATTTGGATAACTATTTTGTCGCAAGTTTGGATGAGAGTTGAGAAAATATTTTATAGACATAATGTTTTTGGCATCTTGCTCAAAGCCATCGGTATCACCAAAACCCGGAGTATCTATTAGCGAAAGCGTAAGGTCTGGAATTCTCCATTCAGTTGATTTCAACTGTAATTTATATTCAGTTGTCGAGCGGGTTTCTGACTTGCTCCCGCCCGTTTTTGCAATATTTGTTTCGAACAGGTAATTAACTGTCGAACTTTTCCCAGAGCCACTTAACCCAACAAGCAAAAGAAACACTTGATTTGGTGATCTCTTCATTTTCATTGCAGCATCAGCCATCTCCATTGCAGGATGGCCTTTACCACTGCGAAACAAATCATATAATTGTTTTTCATTTTCTGGAAGCGACATCCATTCATTTGTCCTGTAACACATATAAGTCAAAATTAGCAAGTTTACTACGCTGAAGTAAACTATCCTTCACCGCTGTGTAAATAGCAAAAGGTAGAGGAATAGTCCAAAGTTGTAGAACAGAAACATAAATCACATTATTAAGTGAACTTCAAACTGTTGGTTGTTGCTGTTAACAAAAAAGTTGCGCATGGTGTTATTGTGATAAAATAATTGTTCTATTATAAATTTGAAAATACTTTGAACGATAAACGACAAATTTGTTTTGCTCGCGTGGTGGAATTGACCGTGTGTGGATTCTTGAAAATTCTAAAGAACTTCTGGACAATTTTAAATCTCGGTCTGTTTCTGAGGTTGGTTCTAACACAACTTTTGATTGTTTAACCCTGTGTGCCAACATTCCCCATGTGAAATTATAAAATTGTTTTGAATAAACATTGAATGACAAACTTTTTTCTTATGTGACGTTTACATTTTCTGACGTCAGACACGCGAAGCAATGAATGTGGTTTTTGGTTTGATGGATGCTTTTGTGCTTTTTTGTAAATAATTGTTTGTTTTGATATTGTAACACAGTGATGACTGCTGTACCCATATTTTGACTATTTTATTTATAATGTCTGTTTTGTTCACGCATCGTTGTAAATATAACGGAATTTGATAAGACTGTCGTACAAGTGAGAGGTTTAGCGCTATAAAACCAGGTTCAATCCACCATTTTCTACATTTGAAAATGCCTGTACCAAGTCAGGAATATGACAGTTGTTGTCCATTCGTTTGATGTGTTTTGTCATTTGATTTTGCCATGTGATTAGGGACTTTCCGATTGAATTTTCCTCGGAGTTCAGTATTTTTGTGATTTTACTTTATACCGATAAAGCAGTGTTTTAGATAGTAAATCAAGTAGTCAAAGTCACAGAATTTCTGTTTAAAAGTATGGAAGCTTTTTATCAAGGAGCCTTAGATGAGTCGTATTCTAAAGGTGTGATTTGGGTAAGATTGTCCAAAATATTTTCGTAACTCTCGACATATTGTAAAACAAAATGACCGTATAATTTGTTTAACAAAATATCATGACAAATAATCCAGCAATTTATGAGAACTTTCACTGTAGAAATGGTCGAAATTAGAATGACGGTATACTATGTTCAATATAAAATTAAGAAGATGTGGTATGATTGCAAATAAGACAACTATCCACCAACGTTCAAATGAAGTGGATTTTAGCAATAAAAGACAACCGTACGGGTTTCAACAATCTAAAAAATATCCCTCCGAAAAGTCTGCCAAAAAATGCCCGACCTGAAAAATATGAAATAATTCAATTCGGAAAATTTACTACCTCATTTGAAACAAAACTATTTACGAAAAACAAATATGACAGACTAATTTGAAACAAAACTATTTACGAAAAACAAATATGACAGACATGTTTCAAAGACCACTGCACTAAAGGTTTCTAACTTAGGCCTGGCACATGCAGAATGAGGCGGTGTTACACATGTATGTGAGCGTCCAAACTTTAACAAGGGATAGGGGTGTTGTTACAGTACAACATAAGAACAAAGTATAAAAATCAGTTGAAAGGGCTTAACTCATCATATCAATACAAAACAGTCAAATATCTTACGAAAAAAAACCGGATGTGGCAGGGTATTTATACATCCATAACAACAGAAGGACAAAAGGTATCACTACAAACCAGTAAAAGTCTGAAATGGCCTATATTTGTACTCGACTGTACTGATTTTTACTCGACCAGTCTGAATTGGTCTGAAATTTACTTGATAATACTCGACTGTAGTCTGAACCATACTTAACAGCCTGAACTTGTACTCGACCTTTACTCGACCAGTACTTAACCATTTTACCTTCGTCTGAACCATGCTCGACCTAGTCTGAACCGTGCTCGACCTAGTCTGAACCATACTCGACTTAGTCTGAACCATACTCGACCTAGTCTGAACCATACTCGACTAAGTCTTAACCAACATAGACCTAATTGTTGTATCTATCTATTGTATTTCATCAATTTAGGAACTGTTTTTAACAGCTATTTCCCCTGGCTAGAAATTTGAACAACAATTTGAAATTTAAAATGTATTCAATATGGCATTGAAACCAAAATTTCACAATAAACATAATATAAATTCAACACCATATTTATCAACACTTACATATATATCACCTTTAAAATAAAAATAAAACAAGCTGATCAAATAATCTCAAAACTGAATTGTGACTAATAGTTTCAATGTTATTAAATTTTTTTTGAATGTTTCAGATATATTTTATGGTTACTTGACAATTTTCACCATTTACTTAAGCCTTGTATAGATTTGTGGTGTCAGTTGATTTTAGTTAATAATGCAGTGAACATTTGTTTTATTAAAATATATTTAAAATAGTATATAAAGCAACTTAATAAATTAAAAAAATCACACCTTTGTTTTGTAAAACCAAGAATTTAATATAATCATGATAATAGAACTTCAATAGCAATCCTTGATAACCATTTAAAAAAGGAAATGTGTTCCAAAGTTGCAGAAAAAATTTATTTCAATTAAATTTAAATAACTTTTGTCAAGATTAAAGACATGGCATACAAGAAGCACTTTAATAAGGTTTATTTACCTCAGTACATGTGTGTTTTACAGGTAAAAAGAAAGCCCTTTTTTTCTTAAACTCGTGTATTACTTAACTAGTGAATTCAAAAGGCCTTGCGATTTAAGTTTTACAGGATGTTGCAATTTTTAATGAATGTTAATTAGAAATTAATACTCTCTGACCAGGTGTGATCTTTTTAATGAGTTTGCCCTAAGCAGGAGGTATTACTTTATACTTTACCACTAATCAGAAGAAAAAAATGTATCTATTTCTTTAATTTTTTTATCCCTTTTTGATATATATTATATATAATATATCCCAATTTATAATAAGAATAGATATATTTCTAATATAAGGTTAAACAATTTCAGTGATTTTTTGGCTGTTGTTACCTCATTAAAAAGATAATTATATAACTATTGTATGTAACCATGAAATCTATATAGTTTTTCTTTAGGAATTTAGGAAAGTTAAGTTTAAAAAAAAAAACAAAAAAAAAACAAATGCCAAACAAGAAGCACCTTAATAAGGTTTTATTACCCTCAGTAAAGGTGTGGTTTTTGATTAAAAGAAAATCTTTTTTTTTAACAAAACTCTTAAACTTTAAAATTAATATAATTAAATTATTATATAAGATAATTTAATTTAACTATCTCTATTTGATAAATCTGAGAATCATGTAAGGATGTAAAAATATGTTTTTATATATATCTTTATTTTATTGTGGCTGTTGTCATGTCAGAAAAAAAGAAATTAATTTTAACAGCTAAAATTAAAGAAAAGTATAGGTTTTTTGGTCAAGTATGGTTCAGACTGGTCGAGTATTGTTCAGACCTTTGGTCGAGTATGGTTTAGACTGAAAAAATTGGTCGAGTACAGGTCGAGAATGGGTTAAGATTGTTTCAGACTGGTCGAGTAATAGTTCAGACTATTTTCAATGGCAAAGATAAGGGTCAAGTACAAATCAGTACGATCGAGTATGGTTAAGACTGGGGTCGAGTAATGTCGAGTAAAGTTCAGACCAATTCAGACTGGTCGAGTAAAAATCAGTACAGTCGAGTACAGATATAGGCCATTTCAGACTTTTACTGGTTTGTAGTGTATAGATCAAAGAAGATATTGTGCAATGTATCAATTTCATATAAGGGCAACATAGATGACGACTGATATGTTTCAATCACGTCCACTTTTCTTGGAATGTGACCTTCCAAATTATACAATCATATTGCTTGCATTTACATAAGCAACACAACGGGATTCACATGTGGATCAGGATCTGCATTCTTTTCTGGATCAATTGAGATTACCCTCGATTTTTGGTTGGGTTCGTGTTGCTTTCTTTAGCTTTCTGTGTAGTGTATACTGTTGTTTGTCTTTCGATCGTATTTAGTTTTTGTCATGGCATTGTCAGTTTGTTTTCGACTAATGACTTTAAATGTCTCTTTTGTATCTTTCATCTCTCTTTTATATCAAGTTGCAAACACCAAGTGGCATTTTGGCACAAAAGTTCACACAAGTTGAAATGAGAGCTATTGCTCATTAATAATATCCCCACTACAAATGTTCGGTCAATAGGAAGTTCATTAGTGATAGATATAAACGTGCACCATATGATAAAGTATGCTCACGTGGCAGTTGTTTTACAAATTTCAGAAAGCCTTCATATGTAGTTAATTAAAGATGTTCACTCATCTGTTTAAAAATAACAAGCTTTTTTTTTTTATAAACGGTTATAAACTGATAGTATAGCGTATTTACCTGACGATATCAGGATATGGGTATTTAGTCGGATCTTAACAGAAAATTGTGATAATAATACAAAACAAACACGGATAAAAATAATAAACAATGTCAAAATGTTCAGGCGTTACTTGAATCTGTTTTTAGGTAAGTTAATGCAAGCATACGATCTGTATTGCGTCTTAAACTATGAGAGACGAAAAATCTTTATCTACTATGTTATATTATTGTGTAAACACGTTAATTATGAGCTATGAAAGTCAAGTAGTTCGAGTATTTTTCTGAGTAAGTTTTAAAAAATTTCAGACAAAAATTCTTGACTGTGGGTTAGCATTCATTAGTCGTCACTATTCTATAGATTAACAACTTTTAGTTATATTGATAATTAAGAATCTTCATTGAAGGTGAAACACGAATGCAAGATAATTAATTCTATTGATGAGTCATTTGTATGCAAGAGTGACATTCCTTTGTACTCTGTTCCAATTCGAAAAAGTCAATTGAAGTTATGCGAGTATTGTCTCCCTTGAACATGTTCATAATTTTATATTTACGTATAGTTATTTGATTCAATTCTAAATAATTACAATTTTTTTAAATTCAATAGATTTCGGTTTTTGTTATTGGTTGATTAAAGACATTGATGTATAAATATCATTTTATTAATTTGAAACGTCAAGATTATTATATACAAATATAAAGAACCTTTCATCATTTTTTTAAATATTTTTCAGTAACATACAAGAAATTGCAACACCGACCATGCAAGTCTTGCATGGGTAATCACGGTCGATCTTAACCCCCTCATTCACAAGATAGTTTGTTTACTGGGGCAAATTACTTTAACAGTGCATTTTCCTCAGACAGAACAGGTTATTGTCTATTTATAATATGAAGATATAGTTAAGATACTGTTGTCAAGTCATTAAGGATTGCATATTTTGGTATTACTATCGATTCACTCATAGGGTCTTTGCATCGGAAATAAACACATTTATTCTAAAACCAGTTGTTGGCATGATACGGGTTATGTTCTTCTCAGATATTTTATGATGGTATGATACTAAACCCCTAACGGGAGGGATTGTACTTGATTTTCATATGATGAAGACATAATCTTTCAATCAGTTTAATTGAGGTCTGGAGCTGGCATGTCAGTAACTGCTAGTAGTCCTTTGTTCATTTATGTATCATTGCCAATTTGCTTAGTTTCTTTTGTTACCTATTCTGACATCGGACTCGGACTTCTTTTGAACTGAGTTTTACTGTTCGTATTGCTATGTGCTTCTTTATTTTTCATTGGCTAGAGGTATATGGGGAGGGTTGAGATCTAACAAAACATGTTTAACCCCGTTGCATGTATGCTCCTGTCCCAAGGCAGGGGCCTCTGGCCTTTGTTGGTCTTGTGTTTTTTTTTAATTTAAGTTCATTTATATGTTTTGGAGTTTAGTGTGAAGTGTGAAGCCGTTGCTAAGAAAGAGAAAGACAAATAGACAAACAGTAGTACACAAAACACAACATAGAAAAACAAAAGGCTGAGCAACACGGAAAGTAGTTTCTATAAAAAAGAGATGTAGTAAGGTTGCTAATAATAAAAAATGATTAATGATATCTACCCTTCCTTCTCTTTGTATTTCAGCGACGGTTGTTCCGTTTTTCCAGTTCCATCACACTCGTCTTCATTGTTGGATCCCTTACTCTCATCATATCTGTCGTTGTTGCAATTTTCATTGGATAGGCTAGTCGTATGAGGAATGGTAATTAAGCACATGAACAATAACCACCTACTGATACAAACGAAAAAAATAATGAAAATGTGACAGATATATGTTTTATACATTTGAAGATAACGAGAATCCTAAACCTTAATAATGAATAATTTAAAAATGTCTTTCATGCATGTCTTTCTGTGGGTCGATATGTTTCTTCGAAACTTTATCATTTTGCATTTTTAATGTTTTATTTCAGGGAGTACTGATGAGAAGTTAATTTTCAAACTGCGCGTAAAGTCAAATAAAAAAAACCTACACAAAAATGCTCTGATAGGATAGGCAGTTGCAGATCTTCTACTGACACACAATTATTGCACATGGTAAGTTAGAATTCGGTGACAAATCAGTGCGTTGATGATACAATCGAAGAAAAATGGAGAGTGTTTTGACTCAGATAAGTAAAAGATATTTAAACAAATGTGACAAAATATTTCACAACGCTCGATTAAAGCATAAAGGCTTCAGTAAAATAGCTGGTACTGTTAATCTATATATTCAATCTCTATAACTGAATATTTCAAAACAGAATATGGAACTTTGTTTAATTTAGCTATGGTAGTTTATATTTTTGAATGATAATATTCACGTATACATATTGGCAGAAAGATTCATTTATAGTACAGTTAGGGAAAAGACCACATTATCAATTCTTACCTTAATATGATTGACATGTGTATACTGTAGGCTCTGTATTTTCTACAAACAAACAAATAAATAAATATTTTTTTTACATAAACACAACAAATACCATATGAAATTATAGGTATGCATCATTTGGGCCATGAAAGCCTACCTTCAAGTATTTATATCCATGATTGTTAAAATTGACGTAAATTGAAGGTTGTATTTCAATTTTTTATCCAAGATCTTGATTTTGTTAACCAAAATGTTAATCAAATTGTGCCTGATATAAATCTATTTAAAAGAAATCTCAATTATTGATTAATTAAATTTCGTTTGGTTTTGTCTTGGTTGATATATATTTGCACTTGTAAAGATTTGTATATTTTTTTCATATACTATAAGTTATATGGTTTGCTATTGACCCCCTACGGATCCATAGAATGTTAGTAAAATCCTATGGATTTCATTCACCCTCTATGGATCCGTAGGGGTCAATAAGGACCGTATAACGAATTTATCGCATGCGGGACTTTTTCTGCTGCGTCTTGTAGAAAAATAAACAATGAAACACAACAAAATTAATAGATGACGTCACCATTAACTGTAGACGTGACGTCATGAACCCCCTATGAAATTTACTAACCCCACCGGATCCATAGGGTGTCACCACGTGACGGAATTTAACCAATCACAACATGATTATTTACCCGCGGTGCGATAAATGTAATTATAATTCCATCAGCAGGGTTTGAACATATACATTTATGACCTATTTTAAATAACAAAAGACAATGTAAAAAGATAAGATCAAATCGAATGAATATATACACTCAAATGTAATATTAATCTACAAAGTACTAGCATATCAAATATTGAATATTTACCTGTTTTTACTTTTTAGTCTACCTTCTATGAGTAAAATGAAAACATGTATTGTATAACTTTTCCTTTTCGTTCCAAAATTAGAATTTTTATGTATAATTTGAATTCTCCGTTAATAAATTATGAAATTATGAAGAAATCAAGTTCCAACTCTTTCGTGCAAATTTGACCTTAGATGAATTGGCTTTTTTCAATGTCCCTTCTGATTATAAAGTATAAAAACGTTTTCACTTGTTTTTTCACATTGCTGGTTTTTATGTTATAAGGTTTGATAAGGGTAAATTCAGAAAAAAAAACCACTTCGGACGCTTCAACTTTAGAAAGTTAATTACATCACTAAGATATAAAACAATATAAGTTAGCAAATATAAAGAGCATTAGTTTTTTTTTTAATTTGCTGACTGTAAATGACGTGTTAACACTAAATCCATTTAGAGATATTTGATGTATACTGATTTATATTTTAGTCTTAGAGGTATGATATTTTTTATCAGTTGTTATTGGCTTTGAATAACCTGTCAGTAACTGCGAGTATTCTCAGATCTGTACTTTAGTGTCTTTTTGTTGTCAGGATGTTAAAGTATCCTGCCACGTTCACCCTTTGTTTTTCGTTAGGTGTATTTATATTGGTATCCATCTGATGAGTTAAGCCTTTTTAACCATTATTTATAGTTTTTTCTTATGTTGAAATGTTACACCACTATCCCAGTTTAAGGGAGGGTTGGCGCCTTTAAACTAGATTAACCCCGCCACCTTCTGTATGTGCCTGTCGAAAGTCAGGTACCTTTAATTCCGTGTCTGTCGTTTGTTACAGTGTATCGTATTTGTGTTCGTTATTTTAACATTAATTAGGTCGTTTGTTTTCTCGTTTTAATTGTTTTACATTTGTCATTTCGGGGCCTTTTATAGCTGACTATGCGGTTTGGGTTTTGCTCCTTGTTGAAGTCCGTACTGTGACCTATAGTTGGTAATTTTTGTGTAATTTTGTCACTTGTGGATAGTTTTCTCATTGGCAATCCTATTACAACCTCTTATTTTTATACTAATATACGAAGTGAAAAGAGAACACAATTATTATTATGTGTAAGTCAAAAAGATGTCAGTCCAAAAAAAAAAAAAAAAAAAAAAAAAAAAAAAAAAAACGAATTAAAAACAACGTACGTTTTTCAAGAATAGACATTTCCCCTTCAGCTAGGGTAATGCGATTAAATATAGCAAAGACCAGGCCATATCAATGATATGAACTAAACTTATACATGCCTGACAGAATTTAAAGAGTTTATGAAGAAAGATTGTTCAAGTTGTTGATCAGTATTGTACTTTTATATAAGACGTATAAAAAGAAACCTCTGAATATAAAAAAGCAAAAGAAAATTAGGGGCATGCAAACAGTGATCCTATTATATTGGCACCCTCAACGGAGTTGGGGTGACATATTGTTATTGTACCTTTCTTTTTTTTTCTTTTTATTATTATTATGGCACCCTCAACGGAGTTGGGGTGACATACTGTTATTCTACGTTTCTTTTTTTTCTTATTATTTTTCTTGCACAAATTTTGTCCGCGCGAGTTCTTGGAATCCAATGGACCAATGTTGATGGAACTCTACTATAATGAGGACCCCCATGTAAAGTTTTGCACCTTGCTATGGAATGGTAAAAAATGGCCGCCGTTTCCATGGAAACAGCAAAAATGCGAAACAAATCAAAGTGTTCCAAACTGGAAGAAACTCCACAGGAATGGTAACTGGCATGTGCTGATTTGCAGTTTGACTTTGGAATTTTCAAAATGGCTGCCGTTACCATGGAAACAGCTAAAATATCAAAAATTCTAACTCTTTCGTTATAAGACCCAACTGGATGAAACTTAATGAAAATGTTACCCAGTATGCCAAGATGCCAAGACGATATTTGGATACTCCAAAATGGCCGCCGTTGTCATAGAAACTTGGGGCAAGTTTAACATTGACCCTTTGGGAAAATGCATAAAATCAGCATTTTGTTAAAGAGTATTTCACCAAAGTAAATGAAACTTCATTGATATATAACATGACATGTGGCAATGAGATGTCTGCTTTTAGAATTTTAGAATTATCCCTTGAAACCATGGAAACAGCAAAAATGTCCAAAATTTCAAAATAATCAAAATGCTGCAAACTGGATGAAACTTTACAGAAATGGTAACTGGCATAGGCAGAGTTGCATTTTGAAGTTGGAATTTTCAAAATGGCCGCCGTAACCATGGAAACGGCAAACATGTCCAAAATTTCAAAATGCTCCAAACTTAATGAAACTTTACAAAAATGATAATTTGCATGTGTAGATGTACTCTTTGACTTTGGAATTTTCTAAATGGCTGCCGCTCGCCTGGCAATGGGGGAAGGGTGCCATCCGCTATTGCTTGCAATGGCAAATCTAGTTATTATTTTTATTCTTCCACACATTTTGTCCTGCTATTTCTCGGGATTGGTCAGACCCATGTTGATGGAACTATACCATAATATGAACCGCCATGTGAAGTTGTGCAAGAGACATTGGAATGGTTCAAAATGGCCGCTGTTACCATGGAAACTGCAAAAATGTAAAAAAAACTCAAAATTCTAAATCTTTCGTTATAAGAGGCAACCTCTTGAAAGTTTATGTAAATGTTGGCAGTGGTGCCCTGAGGTACTAACAGTACTTGGAATTTTCAAAATGGCTACCATTGCCATGGAAACTGGAGAAAAGTTTAACATTTATCCTATGGGAAAACCATCAAAGCAGCATTTTCTTAAGGAATATAAGATCAAACTGAAACAAGTTTCATGAATATAAAACATGGCATAAGTCAATGCTGAAACTGTTGTTGGAATTTTCGAAATGGACACCGTTACCATGGAAACAGCAAAAATGTAAATAAAATCTCAGAATGCTCCAAAATTATTGATACTCATTATAAATGGTAAATGACAAGTAAAGATAAGACTTTGGACTTCGCAATTTCCAAAATGGCCGCCGTTGCCATGGAACCTGCAAAAATGTGAAAAATTGAGAAATGCTCAAAACTTTCTGAAAATTTACAAACAAATATGTTGTAATGTATTTATGTGTAAATACTGTTTTCAAAATGGCTGTAGTTTAGTGGCAATGTGGGAAGGGTGCCATCCGCTATTGCTGGCAATGGCAAATCTTGTTTCAATTGTTTTTTTCATGTATTTTTTTTTTTTTTTTGCAAGAAACCTATATCTAATTAAGGGATTCAAATGAAAAGAGTATAACAAAGTATAACAAAAAACTAAGGTAAATTAAAAAGGGGAAGTCCTTAAAAACTGACAAATGAAATGTTATCAATCAACGAAACGATTGAAAACTACTGTTATTATCCTGATTTGATACAAGCATTTTCCGAAGAAAATGGTTGAAGTCATGTCGATGAAAGTTTTACAGGTGAGAACTGAGAGCCAATTCATATGCTGACCTTTTCTTATATATCTTGTTTTAAGAAAGAAACAAAAATGGTACAAAAGTGAAGATTGTAGAGCATAAATATTTTGGAAAGGCATCGAAAAGTACATCATAAACCATATGGAAGATCATTTAAGGCAACAGTGTTTTGTTTGTTTTGTTTGTATTGCGCCCGTTTGTTGATTGGTTTTTAAATGTCTTAGATTAGAAAAATTATGTCTAACAAAACTGTTGAAATTAACACAAAACATTATTTTTCAGGTGACATTTCAACTACCAGTATTAAATCCCAATGACAATTTGTAATAAATAAAAAACTTTATTAACATATGTGCAGTGTTTTGATTGAATGTTGAAACCAGGTTAGCTTTGACCTTTTGAAACACAACGACAAACTGTAAACCTTCAGTTTAGGATGTGCGATTCGTTGTTTTGTGTGAGTTTTTCATAGTAGCTGGTTGATAAGTTTTCACAACTTGAACTTGTATATAAAACATATTGTAAACCAGATTGTTAAACATATATAAAAGAGGGACGAAAGATACCAGAGGGACAGTCAAACTCATAGATCGAAAACAAACTGACAATGCCATGGCCAAAAATAAAAAGACAAACAGAAAAATAATAGTACAGATGACAGAACATAGAAAACTAAAGACTAAGCAACACGAACCCCACAAAAAACTGGGGGTGATCTCAAGTGCTCCGGAAGGGTAAGCAGATCCTGCTCTACATGTGGCACC